CCCAGTGTGTTGTATAGCCCTCCCCCTATATATCCTGCCCAGTGTGTTGTATAGCCCTCCCCCAAATATCCTGCCCAGCGTATTGTATAGCCCTCCCCCTATATATCCTGCTAAGTGTATTGTATAGCCCTCCCCCTATATATCCTGCTAAGTGTATTGTATAGCCCTCCCCCTATATATCCTGCCCAGTGTATTGTATAGCCCTCCTCCTATATATCCTGCCCATTGTATTGTATAGCCCTCCTCCTACATATGTATAACCTGCCCAGTGTATTGTATAGCCCTCCTCCTATATATTTTGCCCAGTGTATTGTATAGCCCTCCCCCTATATATCCTTCCCAGTGTGTTGTATAGCCCTCCTCCTACATATCCTACCCAGTGTATTGTATAGCCCTCCTCCTACATATGTATAACCTGCCCAGTGTATTGTATAGCCCTCCCCCTATATATCCTGCCCAGTGTGTTGTATAGCCCTCCCCCTATATATCCTGCCCAGTGTGTTGGATAGCCCTCCCCCTATATATCCTTCCCAGTGTGTTGGATAGGCCTCCCCCTATATATCCTGCCCAGTGTGTTGTATAGCCCTCCCCCTATATATCCTGCCCAGTGTATTGTATAGCCCTCCCCCTATATATCCTGCCCAATGTATTGTATAGCCCTCTCCAGCTCTCTTGGTATCCTGTCGACTCTATTTCAGATGTTATTTGGTTGAGGCCGGGTCCACGATACCATTCTTAGTAATGTATTTATACATCAAACATCTCAATGTTACGATGTTGTGACTTATTATTCTGTTGTTGACAGTTTAACTCCCAGACAGTTCAACTCTTATGGATCCCGACGTGGCAATGATGCCGTGATGACACGTGGAACGTTCGCTAACATCCGATTGGTCAATAAATTTGTTTCCAAACCGGGACCAAGGACAGCTTATCTACCCAATGGAGAAGAGGTAAACATTGAAATTTATTGTCTGGAGGTTGGGTGCATCTTAAAAAAAATCAAACAAAATCAGTGAAATTAAAAAATACAGATTATTGAGGGAACTGTATCTGTCAAATTGTCTATTTGTTGTTGAAAAATATTACCTAGATTTTTGTATCCATGTAAACTCTGATTTCTAAAGTCATACAGTTAAAAGATCAAATAACTATTCAAGTTAAAAAGGTTAAAAGGTTTGTACATTCTTTGTTACAAGGTCAAGGTCACCGTCTTGATTTATGATTGGCTGTAGACAAAGAGAAGTAGGGAATGTATATTGGTTTTGCTCACTGTTGTGTTCTTTCTGTCAGCTATGAACCTGCATGTATTTGCATGAAACATATTAAACACTTTTCATTTATTTTGTTCTGAAACTTTTAATCTTAATTCAATTTTTTTGGCCTGCGTATATTTTAGATGGACATCTTTGACGCAGCAGAGCGGTATCGCAGTGAAGGACAACAAGTGATTGTACTAGCTGGGAAGGATTATGGGTCAGGATCATCACGTGATTGGGCTGCTAAAGGTCCCTGGATGTTGGTACGTTTGGAGTTATCTCCCCTTATGTCATAAAACCTCTAAGTTGCTGTAGTTTATCATGTTAACTTAGTTTATTCTGAACGCAGGCATATCTGCCTCTTTATTCAGATCATCGTCCATATTTATTTTATCATAATATATAAAAATGTCTATAACAATAACGTCACTCCAATGTTGTTGTGAATCTCCTTTCATCACTTTCCCAAAATTTATTAAAAGTTATTAGATTTGGTGCTTGAATCACGTTCTCGGGTAGGGAATTCCAGTTGCTAACAATTCGTTAAGTAAATGAGTATTTCCTAACGTCCAGTCTGCTTCTTGATTTATCCAGACTGGGTGAATGTCCTCCAGTCCTTTTATCTTGTTTTATTGACAAAAGTCCCTTTGATGTTGTTGTATCGTAGACTCCCAAACATTTTGCGTGGGTAAAACATAGTAATTTGTTTATGAACTAGTTTCAGATATAGTGGTCTGATGTTGTTTTCTGATTAGCATTCACTATAATACAGGACTCAGGGGGTCAAAATATGTCTTCATGGATAAGGGACCTGCAGTAAAACAATAAATAATAATAATTTGAGGTTCCTGTATACCGCTTTATCACAACCTAGTTCGTAGGTAGTCTCAAAGCGGTTCACAAATTATTATCCGTGGTTATAGGGCCTTTGCAACCAGCCAATGACTTTCTCAAATCCCTGGGGAGCATATAGCCGGTGCTGCCATTTCGGCGCTCACAGCTAGCATTCTACAATTCTAGTACTGCCCAACCACGTACTCATTTACAGCTGAGTAGACTGGAACAAGCGGAGTAAAGTATCTTGCTCTAAGATACAACACAGTGCCGTGCCGTTGACTCGAACCCGCAACCCTTCGGACACTAGCCCGGCGTCCTACCACTTGACTACCGTGCCTCCACAAGCATGCCCTATCTTCATGTCTTCCACTTTTCACTATTCATAATTCCTTAGCGCACTTAATGTTTTAATTTCATTGACAAACAAATCAAAGGCCCTTGTCAAACTCCTAAAGGAAGGCTTTTAGTCAGTAAAAACTTGCACTTTTTGATATATGTAAAACTTCTGGATTTCAGGGTATTAAGGCTGTGATCGCGGAGAGCTACGAGAGGATTCATCGTAGTAATTTGGTCGGTATGGGAATCATACCGTTCCAGTACCTGCCTGGTCAGACTGCCGAGAGCCTTGGACTGACCGGAAAGGAACGCTTCTCTATCGACCTTCCAGACGACATTAAAGCTGGTCAGGTCATGACTATAAAGGTCAGTGATATTTGATAGTAAACAATTACCAGAATATTACCAGAAAACTGGGTCATATAAAGTCATTAGTTCACAGTTCATTGAAATTTGACGTTTAATTCTCCTATCTTTGACTGAATTGTCTCCCTCTGTTTTACCTGTTAAAGATTTCTATGTCACTCTCAGGGTATGAAAGATTGCAGCAGAAAAGGACAATACTATGACGTCTTGGGAACAATCAGATATGACATCGTAATCAGCTTTTGACGTGAGAGGTCATGTGTAAATCAGGATATCAAACAGATTACAAATGCTGAACATTCTTCGTTTTAAACATAGGACTGGGGTGATACCTTGAGGGTATTACAGAGAAACCTCCAACCTTTGGGGTGATTATTAATGCATTCACCCCTACAGTTTTAAGTTGGACTTGCCTAGTCTTTGAATTGGCAATGTTCAAAATGTGACTTTAGGGGTGAATGGGTTAACCAAATAAATCACCCCACGGGTTGGAGATTTCTCTCTAACACCCTAAGGTAGTGTAAGAGTCTATTAATCTACCTGATTCTAGTGACACTTTTTTTATTAGGAAATGTATCGGGGCTCTAATACAATATAAATCGGTTTCTAACCCTGCATTTATCATTGTTTTGTTTGTTTCAGTTAAGTGACGGACGCACCTTCAGTGTTTGCTGTCGTTTTGACACAGATGTGGAGCTTACCTACTTCAGACATGGTGGCATTCTAAACTACATGATACGACAAATGTTGTAACAGTGCTGATTATAACATAGGTCTCCATGGTGATGTGTGATGATCATGATAACACAGGTCCCCATGGTGATATGTGATGATAACATGGGTCTCCATGGTGATGTGTGATCATACGTAGGTCTCCATGGTGATATGTGATCATACGTAGGTCTCCATGGTGATATGAGATCATAACATAGGTCTCCATGGTGATGTGAAATAATTACAGGTCTCCAAGGTGATATGTGATCAAACGTAGGTCTCCATGGTGATATGTGATCATAAAATAGGTCTCCATGGTGATGTGAAATAATTACAGGTCTCCAAGGTGATATATGATCATAGGTAGGTCTCCATGGTGATATGTGATCATAACATAGGTCTCCATGGTGATATGAAATAATTACAGGTCTCCATGGTGATATGTGATCATACGTAGGTCTCCATGGTGATCTGTGATGATACAGAGGTGTCAATGGCGATATGTGATCATACAGAGGTGTCAATGGTGATATGGGTCATAACAGTTCTCCATGTTGATATGAAATAATTACAGGTCTCCATGGTGATATGTGATCATACGTAGGTCTCCATGGTGATCTGTGATCATACAGAGGTGTCAATGGCGGCATGCCATATGATTGGATGTCTAAAGCAATAATGAATAAACACTTATCTCATGTTGTCATGGTTACCATATTTATCATAAATCCTTTTAGACTAGTAACCATGGCAACAGTAGAAACAGTGTTTATTCTATGGATATTTGTGATAAAGATAAAAAGGTGTTGAAGTAGAGAAGTATATATTTCTGTGTGGTTCTTGTGTGAGAGTCGGGGAGAAAATAGTTGTAGTAAAAGAAGAGATATATGTCGATACATGTTTCGCGTAACCACCTCATTTTATATAAAATTTGTTCATAAATAATGTTTTATTTACATTTTTATTTTGGGTAAGTGGGTATGTGCTGTAGGAAAATGTTTGTAAGTTTGTATTTTGATAGTGGAAGTCAGTTCCTGATATAAACCAGTGACAAGCCTGTGTTCACGTATAAGCCCACCCCATTCTGTGACAGATTTGGCTTGGGCCGTACTTATACATACTGCAGATCACTTGCATTTTTTGAGTTCAATATTTTCATTTTAATTTGTGGGTCGTGAATTTAAATACCTCAAAAATATTTACTCTTGACAATTGCAAAAACAGATTTTCAGGAAAATTGAGTGATTTGAGTAGAATGAAATACTGTACTGTAACATTTCTCTATTTATTTGAAGAAGCTGTGGGAACTGTAACCCATATCTGTATTGATTTTCAAATTTAGAATTTTATTTATTTCAAATTTATCAAAGTTTTTATCAAACTTGAGATACCTGGTACCTGAAATTTGCAAAATAAAAAAGAAACATTATAGGGTCTTTGAGGTACAGTTCCTGTAGCCATATGTGAAAATAGCACAGTAAGAGTGTAACTGTGCACATAATTCACGGGAGATACAGCTACATATGTGTGTAGTGAATGATTAACGGGAGATACAGCTACATATGTGTGTAGTGACTGATTAACGGGAGATACAGCTGCTACATATGTGTGTAGTGACTGATTAACAGGAGATACAGCTACATATGTGTGTAGCCACTGATTAACGGGAGATACAGCAATGTGTGTAGCGACACTGCGGACAGTTCCTGGACTGGACTATTAAGAACTAGTCTCCCTGGTTACAAGAGAGATACAGCTATGTAGTGACATTTCAGACAGTTCCTGGGCCCATATTAATGAAACCATGCTCAAACTTGTATACTTCGCTAAAACCCATATTTTTGTTTCAGTGATAAATTGAGAACAAAATACATTTTTCTGAGGATTAGAAAATACATTGAAGAGACTTCAAACCGAATATTGTTTTAAGGTTACACAGTACTTTCTGACCGTATCACTTGATTTAAGTGTAGACATGCTTGAGCATGAGAACAGTTCATGAATACGGGCCCTGGACTGTTAGGTCTTTGTCTGTGTATGGTTAGGTCCTTGTCTGTATCGTTTGTTCAGGCCAGAATCAGTACGGATCTTTCCTGGCAGTCTAGATCAATATGTCAGCCATATGAAGATGGAGACTTATCAAGGTTGCAACTTTTCAATCATTGATGTTTGCTCAAGTTTTGACAAATCACATAATTATACTCAAGATTTAAGGATATTTAATCAGAGAAAATCCTGTATATGTATTTATAGATTTAGTACTTTAGATCTGGGCCAATCAAAGCTGTGTTAGCTTAACCACATATTAACACAAAACTTTTAGGTATATTCAACATATGTTTTCTAAATTAATGAAATTCAAATAAAAATTGTATGTATAGAGATTCAAAATTAAGCTCTCTGTTTCTCGGGAGTTAATCAAAGAATATACCATTAAGAATAGGTAGACAAAAAACAACAACATTTTCTGAAGATATTTATGTTGTATGAAAAGTATTGATTGTCAAAAATAATATATACATATAACTTGGATATTTTCATAGGGCCACAGTGGCCGACTCAGCCCGAGTGGTTAAGGCACATAGGGGCCACAGTGGCCGACTCAGCCCGAGTGGTTAAGGCACATAGGGTCCACAGTGGCCGACTCAGCCCGAGTGGTTAAGGCACATAGGGGCCACAGTGGCCAACTCAGCCCGGGTGGTTAAGGCACATAGAGGCCACAGTGGCCGACTCAGCCCGAGTGGTTAAGGCACATAGGGCCACAGTGGCCGACTCAGCCCGAGTGATTAAGGCACATAGGGTCCACAGTGGCCGACTCATCCCGAGTGGTTAAGGCACATAGGGTCCACAGTGGCCGACTCATCCCGAGTGGTTAAGGCACATAGGGTCCACAGTGGCCGACTCAGCCCGAGGGGTTAAGGCACATAGGGGCCACAGTGGCCAACTCAGCCCGGGGGGTTAAGGCACATAGAGGCCACAGTGGCCGACTCAGCCCGAGCGGTTAAGGCACATATGGGCCACAGTGGCCGAGTCAGCCCGGGTGGTTAAGGCACATAGGGGCCACAGTGGCCCCCTCAGCCCGAGTGGTTAAGGCACATAGGGCCACAGTGGCCGACTCAGCCCGAGTGATTAAGGCACATAGGGGACACAGTGGCCGACTCAGCCCGAGTGGTTAAAGCACATAGGGGCCACAGTGGCCGACTCAGCCCGAGTGATTAAGGCACATAGGGGCCACAGTGGCGGACTCAGCCCGAGTGGTTAAGGCACATAGGGGCCACAGTGGCCCACTCAGCCCGAGTGGTTAAGGCACATATGGGCCACAGTGGCCGACTCAGCCCGAGTGGTTAAGGCACATAGGGGCCACAGTGGCCGACTCAGCCCGAGTGGTTAAGGCACATAGGGGCCACAGTGGCCGAGTCAGCCCGAGTGGTTAAGGCACATAGGGGCCACAGTGGCCGAGTCAGCCCGAGTGGTTAAGGCACATAGGGGCCACAGTGGCCGACTCAGCCCGAGTGATTAAGGCATCTGACATTCTGCTACCACGTCCTTAAATGACCATTGCTGTTTATAGGACATAAAACACAAACAAGTTAAAAGATTAAGTAGATATTGTACATACTATGGTACATTTTAACCCTTTCACCCCTATGTAACTTTAGTAGACATTACCGTGCATTGATATGGATGAGTCCATTATGGTCTACAGTGGTGAAAGTGTTAGATACTCGACACTATATACTGTGGTAGACTTCCTTTATTGTACCCAGTTACTACAGTACAGATGTACTAACTTTTATATTCTAACAGATAACTCCATGTATAGGTCCATTAAGTGAATTATTAACGGCCACAATGTATCCTTAAGTTAAGATGAAAAATACATTTACATGAATTTGAAGCTTGATGTTTAGATAAGTTAAATTTTTGAATCTTATTGCTGTTTTAGACATTTTGAGAGAAAGACTTGTAAGATAAGCAAGATTTAAAAACATCCAATGTTGTATGAGGATTGACTTTGTTCTTTGTCTTTAATACTCCTGGTACCAAATATCTGGCAATGAGACCATGCCTGGTAATAAGCCCACCGATCCTCTTCAGGGTTATCAAATTGTCAATATCTTTTCAATAAGCCCATCCCCAACTTCTGATTCCACATTTCATAATGGCCCCCTGTGGTAATTGAAGAATTATTATGTATCCAGAAAAAAAACAAAAATTGAAACCTACTGTCACTATATATGAATATATTTTATTTTATTTTTTTCTTTATTCAATGCCTTTGTGTTACACCTTGAAAGTCTGAATTTAATTTGTTTTGAAATTTGAGAGAATTGGAAAATGAAAATGAGAGATACAGGTCCTGTTGACCTCTTTTTAAGCAGAGTGTGTCTGTGTATGGAAATAATAGTGGTTTGTGTGATTGAAAAGTTGAATTAATGCATTATGACATTTGTTATCTCCCCTTGGCAACATCAAGAGCCATTCTTCACGGGTACTAGCCTCGTCTGTCAATACACCTTTAATATAATCACTATTTTATAGGTGTATTGACAGATGAGGCTATTACCTGTGCTTTAACAGTTAAGGAAAATTTGTCAAACGTTTTAAATAAGTTGTTAAAAACTAAAATCTAAGCAAAAATGTAAGTGTGTTTACTTGTATAACGTTAATTTTATATTAGTAGTAAACAAATATGTATTTTTAATCATGACTATTAAATATGACCAACAACATTTCTTTACTGATTGTAGCTCTGACAGCAAAAGGGAAAAACTACAGTTACTTCTCCTAGTTACCCCAGCCAATGTGGTGATCATTGTCAATCTACAGTTACTTCTCCTAGTTATACCAGCCAATGTGGTGATCATTGTCAAACTACAGTTACTTCTCCTAGTTACACCAGCCAATGTGGTGATCATTGTCAAACTTCAGTCTAAGTCTCTAATAGTTTTGTTACTTAAAAAAACAAATGCACATTTTACGTCAAATCCTGCAAACTGAATGTATTTTTCATCTTATTTTTGTCTACATGATGTGTTTGGCTGTGATAAGTCACAGGAATTACAATCAAGATCGTCAGGCATTACTGTACAGCACCATGAATTTGTGATCAAATATTTTGTTGTACTTGAATTTTTTTTTGACGTCTTTTAATTGAGTGATGGAGTATACACTTTCGCCTTGGATAAAACCTTGGCACAAGGACAAAATAAGTCTTGCAAGACCATTATCAATATCCTCTACCTCTGGTCTGGTTGTAAGGAGAGCTGCTCAAGTCACTGATATAAGTAACATTGGTTACTTATTACTATAATGACATTTTGAAAACTGGAAAAAATGCTGAATTATGTTGAGGATTTATGATTTCTTCATATTCACATTTATTATTAAATTTCGAAAAGAAAAATGCAGTCTGTAACAATTTATATATGAGAGATATTAATGATGATTGTTAAGTGGTCTGCAGTAATCAAGCTATACATATCTACAGTTAAATATGTTTACAATCAGTAGTCAATCATGTGTTCCGTCGTTTATAATCAACAATCAAGCTTATGTTGTTTATAATCAACAGTCAAGCTTATGTTGTTTATAATCAACAATCAAGCTTATGTTCTGTTGTTTATAATCAAAAGTCAAGCTTGTGTTCCGTTGTTTATTTATCAGTTGTCAAGCTTATGGTCCCCTTATGAATTCCCAGGACATGTAAAGATAAACCGTTACTATTGGACACAATGTGGGGAGAATGTCAAAATATACAGGTTCTACTGTATAAGTCTTTATTTTACAAAACTAGGACATTATTTTATGAAACTAAAGTCCATTTTGTAAAAGTGAGATGGGGGAAAAAGATTAAATGTTTTTTGTTTTGTTTTTTGTTCTGCATGTTGCCTGAAATTTGAACTCATTGCTTCTTGGACATATTGACTTGGGTTCCTTTGTTATAAACACGGTTCACTGAAGTTTGATATGCCCACATGTCGTATTGTACAATTTGTGTAATTGGAGGATGATTTACGTGGAATGAGTGTCACTTAAACATGTATAGTGTGCTAGCTACTGCAAAATCTATTTAAATAAAAATTAATTAATTATAAAGTAATGTGTTGCTTGTTTCTCCTAATTTGATAAAATTGGTGTGGTTTATTGACATCGTAAGGTAAAACATGACCATATGTTAGAAAGTTGGAGAGAGAAAAAAACTGTGGTTAGCCCATCGTCGGTGTAATCTGACCGGGTCACATACTCCCAGGGTTACACCCACCTACATTCTCTGCACCACTGGAATATGTCATGACGCCATAATGTCTGCTGACAGCGTCGAGACTGCATACGACATTAGTTACTGTGATGACGCTAAACCCTTAACAAGTCTGTCGGATTATGAGAGGCATAGTTTGTTCCCAGGAGGCTAACCTCCTCAATAAACAGTTTCACTCTGTCTTCTCAGCCCAGTCACCAATGTCTTTGAAAGGCAGGGCAGTAGCGTAGCTCTTTAGGCTCGAGTAGGCACGTGCTACACATAAATTCAAGAAATTGATTTTTAGCTTACCTGCCCGAAGGGCAAGTGAGCTTATGCCATGGTGCGAGGTCCGTCGTCCGTCCTTCCGGCGTCAACTTTTTACTTAAACAACCTCTTTAGTAACCAAAAGGCCTAGGATGATGATATTTGGTCAGTAGCATCCTGGAATCAAGGGCTACCAAGTTTGTTCAAATGAATGACCTTCATCCATTTTCAAGGTCACAGGGGTCAAATATGTTAAAATCTTTGAACGACTTCTACTGAAGAACCAAGAGGCCTAGGGTGATGATATTTGGCCAGTAACATGCTGGGAGGAAGGGCTACCAAGTTTGTTCAAACAAATGACCTTCTCCCATTTCCAAGGTCATAGGGGTCAAATATGTTTAAAACCTGTAAAACGACTTCTTCTGAATAACCAAAAGGCCTAGGGGGATGATATTTGGCCAGTAACATGCTGAAATGAATGGCTACCAAGTTTGTTCAAACAAATGCCCTTCTCCCATTTCCAAGGTCACAGGGGTCAAATATGTTTAAAACCTGTAAAACGACTTCTTCTGAATAACCAAAAGGCCTAGGGTGATGATATTTGGCCAGTAACATGCTGAAATGAATGGCTACCAAGTTTTTTCAAACAAATAACCTTCACCCATTTTCAAGGTCACAGGGGTCAAATATGTTAAAACCTTTGAACGACTTCTTCTGAAGAACCAAGAGGCTTAGGGTGATGATATTTGGCCAGTGACATGCTGGGATGAAGAGGTACCAAGTTTTTTCAAACAAATGACCTTCACCCATTTTTAAGGTCACAGGGGTCAAATATGTTTAAAACCTTTAAACAACTTCTTTGGAATACCCAAGAGGGAAAGGATAATGTTATTTGGCCATTAACATGCTTGGATGAAGGGCTACCAAGTTTGTTCAAATAAATGACCTTCATCTATTTTCAAGGTCACAGGGGTCAAATATGTTAAATACTTTTCAACAACTTCTTCTCAGTAACTTAAAGGCTAAGGGTGATGATATTTGGCCAGTATCATGCTTGGATGAAGGGCTACCAAGTTTGTTCAAATAAATGACCTTCATCTATTTTCAAGGTCACAGGGGTCAAATATGTAAAATACCTTTCAACAACTTCTTCTCAGTAACTAAAAGGCTAAGGGTGATGATATTTGGCCAGTATCATGCTTGGATGAAGGGCTACCAAGTTTGTTCAAACAAATGACCTACTCCCATTTTCAAGGTTGCAGGGGTCAAACATGTTAAAAACCTTTAAACAACTTCTTCTGAACTACCAAGAGGCCTAGGGTTGTGATATTTTGCCAGTTAGATGCTGGGATGAAGTGCTACCAAATATGTTCAAATGAATGAACTTCGCTCATATCCAAGGTCACAGGGGTCAAATATGTTAAAATCTTTGAACGACTTCTTCTGAATAACAAAGAGGCATAGGGTGATGATATTTGGCCTTTAGCATGCTGGGATGAAGGGCTACCAAGTTTGTTCAAACAAATTACCTTCACCCATTTTCAAGGTCACAGGGGTCAAATATGTTTAAAACCTTTAAAACTACTTCTCAATAACCAAGATGCTGAGGGTTATAATATTTGGCCTGTAGCAAGCTGGGTTGAAGCGCTACCAAGTTTGTTAAAATGAATGACCTTGACAATTATTCAAGGTCACAATGGTCAAATATGTTTAAAACCTTTAAACAACATCTTTTCAATAACCAAAAGTCCTAGGATGATGCTGTTTGGCCAGTAGCATGCTAGGATGAAGGACTACCAAGTTTATTCAAACGAATGACCTCGACATATCTTAAAGGTCACAGGGGTCAAATATGTTTAAAACCTTTAAACAACCTCTTCTCAATAAGCAAAAGGCTAAGGGTGATGCTATTTGGCCATTAACATGCCTGGATTAAGGACTACCAGGTTTTTTCAAATGAATGACCTTCGCCCGTATGCAAGGTCACAGTGGTCAATATATGATTAAATCTTTAAATGACTTGTTCTGTATAACCAAAAGGTCAAGGGTAATGATATTTTGCCAGAAGCATGCTTGGTTTGACGACTATAAACTCTGTTCAACCTTATGTCCTTGTTCGACATTCAAGGTCACAGGCGTCATATGTTTAAATCTTTTAATAGGTTCTTATGAGTCAAACACTGATATTCTGCCTGTAGCTGTATTTTAGTCCACTTTAAAGATTATTTGTGAGATTAATACCAGGTGAGCGATTCAGGCCCATTGGGCCTCTTGTTTTAATGTTTTAAAATTAAGGACTATATTACATTTATATCCAGGATGTTTAAGCTCAAGTAGAAATACGGAAAACCTCGTGGTTTTTTTCCACAGTCAAAAAAGATCATTTCAAGCTTACATTTAATAATGGTAATACCACAACGACGAACAAATTAATGGTACCAAAATTTCGAAACCAAGTCAGAAGATCCCCTCGCAGTGAAACTGTCTCGTCTTCTGAGGCTACCCAAAGTCAGGCATCATTCTGTAACCTCCTGTCCCACCATACCCTGATTTCGTACGCTTAGGATGTAGGCTAGCATATTATTACCAAGTGACCATTCTCCCTGCCCGATAGGACGACAGCCACCTATACAAACATCCTACCTTGTAACAAAATACAAGAATTTTTATTTAGAGTCGTATATGTTGTAATGGAAACAGTAGCTCTGTAGCGCTATTATTACGACAAACAAAGGTATAAAAACAGGATATATAAGACAACATGCAGAAAACAACAGGCATTATAAACACAGGTCAAGAAAAAAAAAATCACAGCATGTAGTAATTAAAAACAACTTGGCATGTATAGAACAAAGTATATATAAAAATCTATATTAAAATTGATGCTGCACAAAGATTCATGCCAGATGCTCACAAACTAAGAAATCAATAAATAAGAGCACTAGCATCGAATCATGGTATCACAAGACATGGTAAAAACTAATTATAGAAATGATAAAAAAAAAGGTTGGAACAAACAAACAAACCTAGTTACATATGGCGCAGGAACACAACTGGCCGTCCCAAGTGTGCAGCAGTCTGCGAAAGCTCTGGATATTTTTTAGTTCATTCGGCAAACTGTTCCACACTTGAGAAGCCTCAAAACGAAAAGACTCTTGGTACCTTAATGGTGTTCTCTTGGCTGAAATTATATTCAACATTATTTTTAACAACCAATAACCCATTTAAAATTTTAAAGACTTCTGTAGCCATATAATATAGTCTTCCTTCTAACAACGTGTAAAAGTGTGAGGTTTTTTTTGTGTAAAATATCTATCACAGGTGAGGTAAAATTAATTTTCAATAAAACGCAGAGCTTTTTCCTGTATCTTTTCCATCTTTCGAGTGTTGCCCGAGACTACAAAAATGCCAGGCTAGGGGCAGTAATTAAAATAAGATGAAATAAAAGATTAAAAAATGATCTTTCCCTTTTTGGTAAGACTATTTCCAATTCTTATCAAAATAGCTAATTGTTTGGAGGCCTTTCTACAGATTTTAGATACATGGTTATCAAATTTCAATAAAGAGTCAATCTCCACACCTAGCAGAGTAACACTATTTTTACAATCAATTACCTGGTCTCCAATAGAAAAGGATCTAATGTTGTCACAGGTATTTTTCCCTATGCATATGGTCCGAAATTTACTAGGACTTGCTTTCATACCATTTGCTGAAAAAAGGTTTAGTAAAAATATACTTTCTTTTTCTAGAGTAAGTTTAAGGTTTGAAGAACAGTTGCTAATATATGAAAGGGTATTGTCATCAGCATAATTGTACAAATCGCAGTCTTTTAGAAACGTAAAAATGTCATTAAGAAAAATGTTAAAAATCAGTGGGCCGACAATAGACCCTTGGGGGACTCCCTTCCTCAGCAGCTTCCAGTCCGTTGACATCGGGGCAAAGTCTTATCCGCTGCTGTCTGCCACTGAGATAGCTGCCGATGAAACTGTCTGCAATCTCATCCAGCCTATAGGCTCGCAGCTTCTCCGGTAGCAGATTGTGTGGAATACAGTCAAAGGCCTTGGAGAGATCCATCAGAATTGCACCAATATACTGACGATCATCCAAGGCCCGACGCCAATCCTCAAGTAGACGAAGCAGAGTAGACTGGCACCCGAAACCCCCTCTGAAAGCTGCTAAGTAAGGATTAAAAAATATACTAAAAAATCACTAAGTTGTGTATGTACAATTCTTTCAAATACTTTTGAAAGAGTGGGTAAAATGCTAACAGGCCTGTACTTTTCTTTATTCATAGGTATTACTTGTGCCTGTTTTAAGGTATCTGGGAACTGCTGTTGTAAAATACAATGATTAAATAACATAGATAAGGGTGGGGGCTTAGGGCCTCGGATCCTGCTTTTAGCATTTTGGCAGAAATTCCGTCCACCCCAGTAGATTTCTTGCAGTCTAAATTTGATATAAGTTTCGTTACCTCTGCAGTACTGACATCGCTAAAGTTAAAGGACCCCTCATCTGCCTCAGGTTTCATGTTGTTTTGGATATGTACAATTCTTGGGTGATCAGAAAAATACCATTCACCATCAAGCTCTTT